CCCCATGTTTTAGTCTGCTGTGTCACTGCTCACTGCAGCCCCCAGGTCTTCTAACCTCTGTCCACCCAGGAATCGGTTGCCATCTTGGACAGTAGCTCTGCCTTCCAGCCATTTATCTGCTCAGAGCAGGGAATGCTGAGTTTACTGTGGTTAGAAGGTGTGGTTACTGTGCCAGAAGGTTTGGAATCTAAAGGGATATGAAGGTGTCCCCCCTCCTTAAAGAGCTGGGGTATCTTCCAGTTAGCTCTCAGTGGGGAGAACAGGGTTCACTGAGATTGGGGTCTCTCTTTGTGACCTCTTCACTGAGCTCAATCCAACCAAATCTCAAAGACCTTTAAAATTTTGTAATGTCCCCAGTCTCTGACAGGTTTACCCAGGAGGGCCAGCTTCTTGGTCTCCGTACTGAGTGCCGAGTGCCCTTGGATTTGCAGCTTGCGGCAACTCTATTGCAATGCCCATGCCCATGGTCACTACTCTTTAACCTTTTATTCAGCTGTGCCCAGAGAAGAGGTAGGAAATGGGAAGAAGTGAAGGGGAGCTTGTCAGGGGCTCCAGGAGGGTTGTGGGAGCAAGAGTGGATCTCTGGATAAACCCAGTGAATGATGTATGTGTGTGTAAGAGACAGGCATGCTTGTGTGATCACGGGGTGTGTGAAACTGTGGACAAGGGCGGTCTCAGTTCTGGCTGGAGGAGCTCCATGTGGGCTTATGTTAATTGTCAGCTTGTGGAATGGTGGGCGTGCCAGTGTCTTAGCTCAGTTTCCCTGGACATGGATGCTGTCACAGAGGTGTGTGTGCCTGGGTTAATCGGGAAACGTGATCACACCTATGGAGGAAGAAAGGACGTGGGACTGGGAAGAAGAAAGTTCTCCTGCAGTGTGTAAGAAGCAAGGCCTGAGCTGAGCCCACAGGGAGGTCTGGGTGCAGGAGGATGGGCACAGTGGTTGCAGAGAAGGGGGGTGGATCCAGGAGGTGCCCCACAGCACCCCCTCCACACAGTGGATTTTTTGTGGTCTTTAGGGAGGGCGAGAATCAGTCTGCAACGCACAGAATAACGGTTGATAAAATGCTGGAGATAAGTTCATGGGTTACCTTTAGTTTTTCTGTCATTTTCAGTTGCTACTGAAGAAGGTTTCAGGTGGAAGGTTAAAAAAAGAGAACTTGGAGTGTTTCCTTGGAAGATGTTGAAGTTGCACTGGGGAATGTGCACCAGCCTACACATCTGTCTTGTATTATTAGAGTTTGGAGATAACAGTTTGGGGGCTGCTGGGGTCACTGTGACTGATAAGAAGATGTCTTGAATCTGGTTGGTGTTTGGGCGTCTTCATGTGTATTATTCCATCATTAACGCAGGAGCTGTTAAGGCTTCGAACCTTCTAGGGATTGCATAGCTGAGTGGGTGGATTATTACTGGGTTTCTGGGGAGTGTGTTGGCCCAGATTCAGGTTTGGAAGTTTCTTTCAGCCTTGAAGGGAAATAGTTGGCCCTCGGCTTTGATGGCAGAAGAGTTTCATCAGGGAGGGCCCTTAAAATCACATGATGTCGGGAAGGAGCATTCCTAGAATCCGAGGGTCGTCAGCTCCACAGCGGCCTGTAGTACAGAGGCTCCTTCTGGACGTGACGCAGCTGCTGCTTGTTGCTGCCAGTGCAGTAGATTCCTTTCCTGTTCTCTCTTTGTCTTTACAGATCACGTGTGTGTGCCACGTGTGGGTACAATACAGATAACAGTTGTGAACGGTCGATAGGAATATAAATGTTACCTGGAAAATTGTACGAGTTTCCCCAACATGCACAGGGTCTCGCAATCTCACTCAGAAATTTTTAAAAATGTTTATGTATTTGGCTTCGCCTGAGTCCTGCAGGATCTTTGGTTTTGGTGCACGGATTCCCTGGTTGTGGTGCTCGGGCTTAGTTGCTCTGCTGCTTGTGGGCTCTTAGTTCCCCAACCAGGGACTGAACCCACATCCCCCACAGAGCTCAGCTGGTTCTTAACCACTGGACCACCAGGGAAGTCCTGTGCAGAACCAGTGTTATGAGGGAGTTACCTGCACTGTTGTAACCAATACTGCATGATTCGCAACAGCCATTGTTGTAGAAACAACTTGAATGTCTGTTGTCGGCTGAGTGGATAATGAAACCATGAGTGTATGAGACAGCCTGGGTCCTGGGACCTTTTACTGCAGGTTTTACACCTGGATGAACGTCTCCTAGGGCAACAGACCACAAAGAAAGTGTAAGAGACAAAGAAACTATAGCCACATTCATGTGCAGTCAGCAGTTCTGAACAAAAAGAGAAAAAAGGGCCACAAACCAGCTGTTCTGAGGCTCCAAAAGCAAAGGCAGGTCACGGCCCTGATCCTTGCTCACAGCACCACTGGGGGTGCTGAGGAGGGCAGATCACCTCAGCTTCCTTCCGGCTTAACCATCAATCCACGCCTACCTGCACCCCCAGTTAAGGGACCACATCACCCCCCTTCTTGGCAAGAGCAACGGCACCGATTCTTATTCTTGCTCACCTTTAATACAGCAGGCATCCCAATAAAGCCTTCCCTGAATTTCTTCTCTGGTTTTGTAACTATTTCTGTTCATTAAAGAACCCAAGCAAGGATCCAGGTTGGTAACAAGGAAGTGTAAGTGTTAGTCACTCAGTCATGTCAGACTTTGCGATCCCAGGGACTATACCCTGCCAGGTTCCTCTGTCCGTGGAATTCTCCAGGCAAGAATACTGGAGTGGGTTGCCATTTCCATCTCCAGGGGATCTTTCCAACCAAGGGATCAAACCTGGGTCTCCTGCATTGCCAGCAGATTCTTTACCCTCTGAGCTCCCAGGGAAGTCCTGGTTGGTAACATACACCAAGGCAAACCCACATACATATATGTAATGACATATTATGTACCCATAAAGATGGAGATTTTTGTCACTTGGGACAACTTGGATGCATGTAGAGAATATTATGCTAAGTGAATTAAAACAGACAGAGACAGATGTGGTTCCAATATGTAGAATGTAAAAAAGTGGACCTCACTAGTACCACACAGTGGGATGGTGGTTATCTGGGGCTGGGAGGTGGGGAGGATGGGGAGATGTTGGTCAAAAGGTACAGACTATGAGTTGTGAAATGAGTGCGTCCTGGGGAGGTGTGTGCAGCATGCTGACCATAGTTAATCCTGTTCTGTTACTGCATGCTGGGAATTTGTCATCAGTGCTGTCACCACACAGAGAACATGGGAATTTGGAGGTGATGAATGTGTTGGTTAGTGGTTTGTGATAAATATTTCACAGTGTACACATGTGTCACATGGTCACAGGGTGTATGGTATGTATACACACAACCCTTTCATTAGTCAGTTCTCCTCCATCAGACATGCTCCTCAGGTTCTCGTGTGGGGCCTCGCCCCAGGAATGTGCACAGGCCGCAGATGATTCTGATCTGGATCCTGCATTGAGCACCAGGGCTCTTAGCCTCCTCTTCTGAGACTGAGATCAGGCCCTGAGGGAGTGGAGGGCACTCTGCTCTGAGTGGGGCTGGACCAGGGCCTGCTGTGTGACCTGAAGGAGATTGCCTGGTCAGCGGAGGTGCCCCCTGCTTGGAGCCAACACACGAGATCCTACCCATGACAAGGTCATGGGGAGAAAACCTGACAAGAAAGGCGGATCAGGTCTTCAGGGGTTTCCAAAACGCCAGCTCACAAGATCCCACCCATGACAAGGTGATGAGGAGAAAACCTGACAGGCAAGTCGGATCAGGTTTTCAGGGATTCTGAAAAGCTGCCCCCAGCGCTCACCTTAAAGATGATATCTGTCTTTTTGATGCTTGCTTCTATAGACTACTCCCTAATTTCTGTGACATAGGCAGAAGGCCTTTCCTGATCCCTTTCCACATAAGAATTTACTTAGAACTTGAATCAATAAGTTTCCAGGGTGGTGGGACTTTATGAGATTATCCAGGGTGAAAGGAATGTTTTAATTTAAACTCCTTTGCTGGCATTTTAGTTTGTTGGACAAATGCGTTTATGCCCTTGGTACTAATATGCATGACTGCTCATAATACCCTAATCATAAAACAGCATAAAGAACCTGATCACAAAAAGGCCCTAATAGGCACAGAGCCTTTCCAGGGGTGAGGAAGCTCTATTAGAGAACACAAAAATACTATTCTAAAAGTGGTTATAGTTAAAGATTTAGAAAAATAAAGAGTTTAGAATTGTTAATTTTAACCAGGAATGCTAAACAGGGGCTGCCTCACTGGAGCTACAGAGTCTTTGTGTGGTAAGCTTTTTAGATAAATTTAACTGATAACTTCTGCAAAAGGACTGACCTTTGTGTTCAATAAATAATAGATTAGGGAAAATAGCTTTGCATTCACCTAGGTCAAAAATGTCAATAGGCCCCAAGGCCAGAAGGTAATGATAAGACCCTCATAAACAAAGAAGAATGCAGAAAACACCCTGGTTTCGTGAAGGACAAGCTGATGTAATGTTAAACTATCTTCCCCTTAGAAATGTACTAACTTAGGGTATAAAAGCTATGGTAAAAAATAAAGCACTGCCAGACTCTGCTGCACACCCCCAGTCTGCTCTCTCTCTCTCTCTCTCTCTCTCTCTCTCTCTCTCTCTCTCTCTCTCTCTCTCTCTCTCGCCGACACCGTTCATCCTGAGGGTACCCCTGGATCCTGCTGAGGCTAGACCCCAGCAGCCCCCTGCTGCTGTGTGCTTGAGGCCTCACCAGGAAGGGAGTGGGATCCGAGGGAAAGTGTGGGAAAGTCCCGTGTTGGTCTCTGTGCGGGAGTTGCCTGTCCTGAGTCCCTCCTGAGACAGTGGGCAGAGGGGACTGTCTGTTCCTCATGGTGAGGGCTTCCCTGTGGGGGCGGGGGGGCGCCGCAGGAAGGGGTTGTGTTGATTCTAAGCATTAAACAGCATGTTTTAAACTTCATAATAGACCTCTGAAGACTCATTTTGCCTGAGGAAGAAGCCAAGAAGAGGAAAGAACAGGAGTCAGGCATGGCTCTTTCTCAGGTAAGGTCATATTCTCAGTGGATTCTCACACTGCCTTCCTGAAATATCCTTCTCTGGACTCACTAATCGTGTCTGATTCTGGAGTGTCCTGTCTGACTCCTGTACGTGCACACTCACCCGGGGCCTTCCGTCAAGGCCTGTCATCTCTACTTAGATCCCGTCCCCCCGTGACCTGGTTCCTGGCCCTTGTGAGGAGGCTCCCCTTGGCACCATCCTGGGCAGGGCTTTACACCCACGGGTTGGAGACAGAGTCTCAGTGCTTTTGGGCAGCTGGGACTGTTTAGGGCCCATCTGGATGCGCTGTCTGCTCTGTCAACCAGGGTAAGGAAGCTGCACTTAGAGTGAGGTATTAACATGTACAGCATGTGGTACAATCTGCGAAAGAGGCCAATTAGGGGAAATTAGTTCTGACTTTTTATAGTACATTTAAAACTAAATGAGGCCCTCCTTGAAAACTTTAGTGTTTGGGGATGGAATGGAAAGTTTAGAAAGAGATGTCAGTGCTAGGCAGTGTTCCATTACACGATCTAAAGTGTGAAATCAGGTTTACTAATTTATTTTTTTCTTTCTTTTTTGGCTGCACAATGCAGTTTGCAGGGTCTTAGTTCCCTGAGTAGAGACTGAACCTGAAACCCTGCAGTGGAAGTGTGGAATCTTAACCAGTGGACCATGAGGGAATTTCCCAACTTTACTAATCATGATTCAGTATTTTCTCAATGGAATAAAATAATGAATTTGGGAGTTTGTTAATAAGTACATACCTAAAATTAAGAATAAAAATCACATTATTATTTATAAAATATATTTATTTCCTGTACTCTGATTTGACTGCTTCAGTGTCTTTTCCCTGGTTCTGGTGACTGGCAGCCACTCTCTGGTTGCAGTGCACACGCTTCTCATTGCAGTGGCTTCTCTTGCCTTGCAGCACAGGGTCTCGAGCGCACCGGCTTCAGTAGCTTCACCTCCTGGGCTCTACAGCTCTGGTTCACGGGCTTAGTTGCCCCTCAGCATGTGGGATCTCAGACCAGGCAACAACCTGTGTCTCTTGCATTGTCCAGTGGATTCTTTACGAGTTATCAGTAGGGAGGCCCACATACTATTTTTAAATACAGGTACTTATAGAGATTGGAAGAAATCTGCTGTATGTTATTTCCTGCTTGTATTACTTTTTATTTTTTTGAACTAGAATAAGATAATATTGAGGACTTCCTTGTTGGTACAGTGGCTAAGAATGTGCTTGCCAATGTACGATGCACAGGTTCCATCCCAGGTCCGGAATGATGCCTCAGAGCAACTAAGCCCATGGGCCACAACTACTGAGCCTGTGCCTGAGACCCTGTGAGCCATAACTACGGAAGCCCGCACTCTCTAGAGCCTGTGCTCCAAAACAAGAGAAGCCCGTGCACTGCAGCTGCAACTAGAGAAAGCCCACTCACAGCAAAGAAGACATAAGCAAAATAAATAAGCTTTGAAAAAGAAATAGAATGTTGACAAAGTTACTGAATGAAGAAGTAAAATGAAAGAAGAGAATGGGAACCCACTCCAGTATTCTTGCCTGGAGAATGCCATGGAGAGAGGAGCTGGCAGGCTGCAGTCCATGGGGTCGCAAAGAGTCAGACATGACTGAGTGACTCACACAAAGTTACTGAAGTACAGTTAGTTCATTTTTAATGTCCCAATGATGCCGAAATATGCACGAATAAAATGAAAATGTGAGTATCATCCCAGAATGAGTCAAAGGGCAACTCTTTAGAGAAGGGATTGGCCACCCACTCCAGTATTCTTGCCTAAAGAATCCCATGGGCAGAGGAGCCTGGTGGGTTACAGTCAGCAGGGTTGCAGAGTCTGGCATGAATAAGCAGGTAAAGAACAACTTCCACACACAGCAGATTGAGCTCTGAAAAACAAATCTAAACGTCTAACTTTCTTCCTGCAGATTCTTCAGTGACTTACGGTAGCTTTTGGAATAAAGTCCTAAATCCAAAGACCTTGTAGAAAGCAGCCTCTACCTGGCACCACCACTCCTTGTTCCCTGTGTCCCAGTCACACTGACTGGCTTTCTGTTTAGTAAATATCTTCCTGCCTCAGAGCTGGCACTCAGACTGTCCTTTGTCCTTGCAACACTCTTCCATTTCCCACCTTGCGAATCCTGAGTGTTTCTTCCTCACAGAGACCTTGTCTGATTTATCGATGTAGGTCAAGACATTCTGTTAAATCTTCTCTTAGCACCAGGCCTGTTTCAGAGCACTTACTACAACAGTAGTGCTAAAATTATGGATGTAATTGGCTGACTGGTTGCTTGAATGTAAGCTCCATCACGTTCACTGCTGTATGCCCAATTTGAGGCACAGAGTTGATGCTGAATAAATTCTGATTGAGTGAAAGAAAAAAAGGCAGCTCTTGTTTAAATCAATTGTTTGTTTATACATGCATGCATGAGTGCGTGCATATGTAACTCCATGGTTTTATTAGAAAACATTACCTCATAAATATGTTTTATGCTTTGTAGCAGTTGCAACTGTATTTTAAGTGTATTCCATGGCCTTAAGCTTTTTCTGCCTCATCATATGAATGATATTTACATTGTGTGGGTTGGCGGGGGGGGGGGGGGGGGGGTGGGGGGGGGAAGGGTGTGACTCTGCATAGTGACCATTTATGCTGTTCTATTGTATTTCAGTTTCCTTGAATTTGTTTCACATATTCTCAGGGAACTCTGTGGATGGTCTTTATGCTCTGTTAGTTAACTCTTTGATTCCGTAGGTTCAGTTTTCACTCCCAACCACCTGAACTCAGATGCTGTTGCCTCATTGCTTAAACATTGGATCAGAGCAGTTTCTTAAAGTGAAAATTTTCTCCCCAGTAAGACGGACACAGATCTTTCTCTAATGTGCTGTTATGTTGATGACAAGTTCATCTGTGTGAAGTCTTTAGAGTAATGCTTAGTGTGTAGGACGTGCTGAAACACCTGTCATCAGTGTGATGATGTCGTCATCATCATGATGTGTGTGTTCTTTTAAAGTCACTGTGGACTTTGTCGTCTCTGAAGACACCAGTTTTGCTGTAACTCATCTAGATAGTGAATGTCACTCAGTGTAGAGTGTAACACTTCTGCATAGACAACCCGTTGATTGAATTTTTTGGTATGTTTTTCATGTATTGTCTACACAAGTGACAGATTCATGTTGATTGCAGGATATCATAATCTTAGAAAACAACAGAGGAAATTAAATTAGAGACCCACAGTTTGTTCCAAATAGATTTGCATGTATCTATCAGAATATTACTTCAACTGAATTGAACCTTACTCCTCTCACTTCTTATTTTGAGTGAAACTAAGAACCCTCCTCTGGAGAAGGCAATGGCACCCCACTCCAGTACTCTTGCCTGGAAAATCCCATGGACGGAGGACCCTGGTAGGCTGCAGTACATGAGGTCGCTAAGAGTCAGACATGACTAAGTGACTTCACTTTCACTTTTCACTTCCATGCATTGGAGAAGGCAATGGCAACCCACTCCAGTGTTCTTGGCTGGAGAATCCCAGGGACGGGGGAGCCTGGTGGGAGGCCGTCTATGGGGTCGCAGAGTCGGACACGACTGAGGCGACTTAGCAGCAGCAGCAACAGCAGGAACCCTCCTCAGAGCCCGTTGGTGAAATGTGTTTTCATTTCAGGCACAGTTGACCTTCAAAGATGTGTTCATAGATTTCACTCCTGAGGAGTGGGAATGCCTGGACCCTGCCCAGAGGACCTTGTGCAAGGACGTGATGGTGGAGACCCTCAGGAACCTGCTGTCTGTGGGTGAGGATCACTTCCCTCTGAAGTAGGGATCTACTTTGGGGTGTCTTTGCATGTTCCCTCTGTGTCTCTGGGAGCCCCTGTTTTTCTTACTGAGATCAAAGCTTTGTTGACTCTCACATGTAAGGCTTTGTGATTGGCATCAGGAATTTAAACTTGTCTTTCCGTCCAGTGACCTGCCCACTGTGTGATACACAAGGAGTTTTTCCAGAGCTTGAGTGTTTATGAAGCTGATTTCAAACTTGTGAAGGATCAAACCCATGCCTCCTCTATTTGCAGGCAGATTCTTTACCATAGAGCCACCAGGATGTTAAGGAAATTAAATAGTCTTGTTTAGGCTTCAAGACAAAGCAGTACATTCCTCTGACCTTCCTTCTAACCCGCCTGGACACACCCTGACTGTGAGTGCCCTTACTGCCTGCTGTGAGTGCAAGGCCTGTGGCACCATAAATAATTTAGGGGACAAACCTTGAGTTATTCAGCCATCGGAGGGGCTCTAGCCAACCAAGCCCCAGGCTTAGCAGCATCCAAGTTTTATAAGACGAAACAAACAGCATTAAGATGAAGCCAGAGCTGCTGTTTGCTCACAGATTGATGATGATGTCAGTTTGTGTCCTGGGATTATAAGCAGGAACCCCGAACTGCAATCTTTGAAGTCTCACCCACGGAGTGGACACCCTGCCTGGGACCTTTTCCCAGTTGAGACTCCAGATGTGCTGTGTCCTGGGACTTCCCAGCGCTGTTTGAGTCTGGATGTTGGTCAGAAGCCAATTTGATGATGTATCCTCTGCTGTTTCTATTTCTCTTTTCTTTTAATGTTAGTATATTGAAAGTCAACTAGATAATTCTCTATCTGTATTATGTATTATTTATTTGTATGGGGATTCCCTGGTTTCTCAGATGGTAAAGAGTCTGCATGCAATGCTAGAGACCCATATTCGATTCCTGGGTTGGTAAGGTCCCATGTAGAAGGAAATGGCAATCCACTCCAGTATTCTTGCCTTGAAAACCTCATGGCCGGTTGAGCCTGGTGGGCTACAGTCCATGCGGTCGCTAAGAGTCAGACACGAGTGAACACCTTCACTTTCACTTCTTTCATTTGTTTAGAACAGGTGGCTTATCTTGTTAACAAATCCTTTGACCCTCAGTCGAAAGTGAAAATTTTTGGCAAAACATTAATTGGCGCTGTGAGCAGGATTTGTGAGACAAAATGCCACTCTGGGTATGTCATAGCTTTTCTTCCAAGGAGTAAGCATCTTTTAATTTCATGGCTGCAGTCACCATCCATGGTGATTTGCGAGCCCAAGAAAATAAAATCTGGCACTGTTTTTTTTTCCCCCCATGTATTTGCAATCAAGTGATAGGACCAGGTGCCATGGTCTTAGTGTTTGAATGTTGAGTTTTAAGCCAGCTTCTTTTTACTGTCCTCTTTCACCCCATCAAGAGGCTGTTTAATTCCTCTTTGCTCTCTGCCATTAATGTGGATTCATGTGCATATCTGAGATTGTTGATACTTCTCCTGGCATTCTTGATTCCAGCTTCTGTTTAATCCATCCCAGCATTTTGCATGATGTATTCTGCATATAAGTTAAATAAGCAGGGTGACAATATACAGCCTTGACATACTGCTTTCCCAGTTTTGAACCAGTTAGTTGTTCCATGTCTGGTTCTAACTTTAGCTTTTGTCCTGCATACAGGTTTCTCAGGAGACAGGTAAGTTGGGTATTCCCATCTCTTTAAGAAACTGCTCTTTAGTTTTTACATTATTCATTATTTAGTTTCTTTTGGGTTATTTACATTACAATATGTTGTCTATTCTTTGCATGCATACTCAGTCTTACAGAGGTGTCTGACTCTTTGTGACCCCATGGACTGTGGCCTGCTGGGCTTCTCTGTCCATGGAATTTCTTTCAGGCAAGAATACTGTAGTGGGTTGTCATTTCTGTCTCCAGAGGATCATTCAGATCCAGGGATTGAACTCTAGTCTTTTGCATCTCCTGTAGTGGCAGGTGGATTATTTATCACTCAGCCTCCTGCAAAGCCCTGTCTGTTCTTTAGCATGTAATTATGTATAAGTATGTGTATATTGTATATAATGTATTTTTTCCCTCCTCAATTATGAGACAGTATGTTTACTACCAATTAGAGCCAATTCATTTGAATTACAGGTGATCACTTTTTTTAAAATTTTTTAAAATTTTACTTATTTATTTGGCTGTACTGCATCTTTGTTGCTGCATGAGCTTTTCTCTATTTGTGTAGAGCAGGTGGTACTCTACAGTTGTGGTGTGTGAGCCTCTCATTGCCTTGTCTTCTCTTATTTTGGAACACAGGCTCTAGGTTGTGATGGCTTGTGTAGTTGTAGCATATGGGCTCAATAGTTGTGGCTCCCAGGCTCCCAAGCATAGGCTTAATAGTTGTAGCTCATGCGCTTAGTTGCTCCACAGCATGTGGGATCTTCCCAGGTCAGGGACTGAATCCATGTTTCCTGCATTGGCAGGCGGATTCTTTACCACTGAGCTACCAGGGAAGCCCGATTACTCTTTCTTTTTAAACACTATTCCTTTAGTGTTTCTTTTATTTTGAAAATCATCGCTGGGAAGATTCATAATTCTGTTTAGGATGGGTATTACTTTTGGTGTAAGATCATGTGTTCAACATGAAAGAATTTATTTATGAATTATAATTAATAGGATACCTATGGTTCTTTATATCTTGTAGGTATGTCTCATACACATATAAGCCGGAAATTACTGACAAAAGCAAGCAGTGATAAAGGAGAAGTATTTCACACAGTGATGTTGGAAAGACCTGAAAGCCATGAAATCACAGATTTTTTCCTCAGAGAGGTCCAGGAGAATTTGCATGAATTTGAGTGTCAGGGGAGAGATGATGAAAGAAATTACAAAGGAATGTCTATAACTATAACCCAGAACAAAAATCTCACTAATGAAAGTGATCGGCACAGTAGAATTGCGGTGGGAAATAAGCCTGTTGAAAATAGGCATGGATCAAGCTTTCAAGATGAACTGCAGATACTTCAACCTGAAGGGAAAACATTTGAATGTATTCAAGCTGTGAGGAGTAGCAACAGTAGCACCTCAGATTTACGACTTCAGAGAACTCCTAGTTTCTGCACCAGCATTTCTAATATGTGTGAGAGTGCTGTTATGCACCCTTCAGTACTGGCACAAGACCAGGAAGCACAGAGGGAAAAACCATACAAATGTACTGAGTGTGCCATGACCTTTGTTCAGGACTCGGAACTCACTGGACATCAAAGGATCCATAGAGGAGAGAAACCAAATAAATGTGATGTATGTGGAAAGGCCTTGAGTCAAAATGCAAGACTTAGAGTTCATCGGAGAATTCATACTGAAGAGAAACCATATAAATATTATGAATATAGCAAAGCTTTTAGTGCACATTCAGCCTTTACTGACCATCAGGCAGTTCATACAGGAGAGAAACCATATAAATGTAGTTTACGTGGCAAAGCCTTCAGTCACATGTCTTATTTTACAGTTCACTGGGGAATTCATACTGGACACAAACCTTACATGTGTAATGAGTGTGGCAAAGCTTTTAGTGCACATTCAGACCTAACTAGACATCAAGCAGTTCATACAGGAAAGAAACCATATAAATGTCATGTATGTGGAAAAGCCTTTAGTAAAAACACAAGACTTACAGTTCATAGGAGAATTCATACTGGAGAGAAACCATATAAATGTGATATATGTGGCCAGTGCTTTACTCGAAATGCACACCTTGGGATTCATCATAGAATTCATACTGGAGAGAAACCATATACATGTGATGCATGCAGAAAAGCTTTTAGGGCTCATTCAGACTTAAGTAAACATCAAGCAATTCATAAAGGAGAGAAACCATATATATGTAATTTATGTGGCAAAGCCTTCAGTTTCAGGTCTTATTTTACACTCCATTGGAGAATTCATACTGGAGAGAAACCATATCAGTGTGATGTATGTGGCCAGTGCTTTAGTGGAAATTCATACCTTAGGAGTCATTGGAGAATTCATACTGGAGAGAAACCTTACAAATGTAATGAGTGTGGCAAAGCCTTCATTCAGAGTACAGGCCTTAAAGCTCATCAGAGAATTCATACTTTAGAGAAACCGTATAAATGTGATGAGTGTCATTATCAGAGAAATGCAAATCAAAACCACAATGAGGTACCATTACACACCAGTCAGGATGGCTGCTATCCAAAAGTCTACAAGCAATAAATGCTGAAGAGGGTGTGGAGAAAAGGGAACCCTCTTACACTGTTGGTGGGAATGCAAACTTGTACAGCCACGATGGAGAACAGTGTGGAGATTCCTTAAAAAACTTGCCACATGACCCAGCAATCCTGCTGCTGGGCATACACACTGAGGAAACCAGAATTGAAAGAGACACGTGTACCCCAATGTTCATGGCAGCACTGTTTATAATAGCCAGGACATGGATGCAAGCTAGATGCCCATCAGCAGATGAATGGATAAGAAAGCTGTGATACATATTACTCAGCCATTAAAAAGAATACATTTGAATCAGTTCTAATGAGGTGGGTGAAACTGGAGCCTATTATACAGAGTGAAATAAGCCAGAAAGAAAAATACCAAATACAGTATACTAACGCATATATATGGAATTTAGAAAGACGGTAACAATAACCCTGTATTCGAGACAGCAAGAGAGACACAGATGTATTGAACAGTCTTTTGGACTCTGTGGGAGAGGGCAAGGGCGGGATGATACGGGAGAAAGGCATTGAAATGTAAATTATCACATGTGAAACGAATCGCCAGTCCAGGTTTGATGCATGATACAGGATGGGATGGTGGGGGGGGTAGTTGGGGGGGGGGGTCAGGATGGGGAACACATGTACACCCATGGCGAATTCAAGTCAATGTATGGCAAAACCAATACAATGTTGTAAAGTAAAATAAGTATAAAAAAATGTGATGAGTGTGGCAGAACTTTTAGTGCACATCCAGACTTTACTAAACATCAAGCAGTTCACACAGGAGAGAATCCATATAAATGTAATTTATGTGGCAAAGCCTTCAGGTACACGGCTTCCTTTGCAGTTCATCACAGAACTCATACTGGAGAGAAACCATACAAATGTGATGAGTGTGGCAAAGCTTATACTGCACGTTCAACCTTTATTTAGCATCAAGCAATACATATGGGAGAGAAACCATATAAATGTAATTTGTGTGGCACAGCCTTTAGGTACAGGACCTACTTTTCAGTTCATCAAATAATTCATAACGGAGAGTAACCTTACAAATGTCCTGAGTGTGGCGAAGTCTTTAGTCAGAGATTAGTCCTTAAAATCAGAGAGTTCATACAATATGAAAATATAAATATGTAAATATGATATGTGTGGTCAGTGCCTTACTCAAATTACACACCTTGGAAGCTGCATGGCATGTCAAAAAAAAAAAAAAATCACCAAGACCCTTTGTCAATCTCCAACTGGATTAATTGACCGAAATGTGGCCTAGCTATTGCTCCAAGCAGTTACTAATGCAGAATCAGTGTAGTTTTCTACCAGCCTGTAAATTGTTTTTTTAACTTAAGGTCTGTTTCAAGTGGGGATGATTCGTTTGTTTATTTTTGGCTGTGCTGGGTCAGTCGTGTCCAGACTCTTTGTGACCCCATGGACTGTATCCCTTAAGAGGAGCCTGGTGGGGTCACAAAAAGTCGGACACGACTGAGTGATATTTTCACTTTATCTCCTAGTTTTCAGATCTCCCAGTTATTGGTTGATGGCCCTGAATTTTACTTAGCAGTGTATTAACGGACTTAGTTCAAACACACTGAGTGGGACTCAAACTTATCTGGACTTGCTGAGGAGGTGGGTGGGTCCATGAGGCACTTACTGATGTACCAAGGTAGTATCTCCAAAGCACAGACTGGTGCCTGTTTCTCTCCATCCTGAATTCGTAATGGCGACCCACTCTAGTACTCTTGCCTGGAGAATCCCATGGGGAAGAGCCTGGTAGGCTGAAGTCCATGGGGTCTCCAAGAGTCGGACACGACTGAACGACTTCACTTTCACTTTTAAGTTTCATGCATTGGAGAAGGAAATGGCAACCCACTCCAGTGTTCTTGCCTGGAGAATCCCAGGGACGGAGGAGCCTTGTAGGCTGCCATCTGTGGGGACGCACAGAATCGGACACGACTGACGCTACTTAGCAGCAGCAGCAGCAGTCGCTGGGGCACTGTAGTGTCTAATGAGTTTGATCCTTGAAGAATTGGGATGTCAAGATACTTTTCTCCTTACAGGTGTTGGTAGGAAGCAGCCGGTTGTAAGAGTTGTGTGTTTCACATTCTAGCTTGTCATCCCTACACAAATCCAGTTGTTTACTTAAACTGTTTAAATTAATTCTAATTGCAGGAATATCTGGGTTTCTGGGTCCAGTCACCACCCTGTATTAACGCCCAGCCCTGCCACCACCCTAGGTTTCAGTTCCCAGACCTCGGAATCCCTTCAGCCTCATCAGCAGGACTCCTGTTAAGAATAAACCTTACTTTACAGGTAATGATCCCACAAAATTTTAAGTTTTTACTTTAAAACTGTTCTGTGACAGTTACCTAAACTAAGGAGGAATCAATGGTGCAACACAGGACACGGAAGACCCTCAAGTACTTCTAAACCCAGACAAGCTACGGTGGGAACCAAACGGAAGGACGTTCACCCCCTCGGCCCGGCCCCTCTCGGCAGGAAGCTGGAGAGTGCCCTACGCCCCGCCCTTCTCAGTGGCGTCTGCTCAGGCCCCGCCCCTAGCTCCTCTCCCGCCTTTACCCAGGTCCGCGAGTTTCCATCAAGTCCCGAAACAGTGACTGCGGAGCCGAGGTCACTGTGGGGAGCGTGAGGTACCTTTTTTCCCCTAAACTGCGCCTGGGTGTCCCCTCTCCTCCATTTGCGAGGTCTTCGGACTGTCAAATTACCCTCACCTGCTCCTCCACACCGAGTAATTTCAGTGAGAGTTGTGCTACAAAGAAAGCTGAGCGCTGAAGAATTGACGCTTTTGAACCGTGGTGTTGGAGAAGACTCTTGAGAGTCCCTTGGACTACAAGGAGATCCAACCAGTCCATCCTAAAGATCAGTCCTGGGTATTCATTGGAAGGACTGATGCTGAAGCTGAAACTCCCAATACTTTGGCCACCCGATGCAAAGAACTGACTCTGGAAAAGACCCTGATGCTGGGAAAGATTGAAGGCGGGAGGAGAAGGGGACGGCAGAGGATGAGATGGTTGGATGGCATCACTGACTCAGTGGACATGAGTTTGAGTAAACTCTGGGAGTTGGTGATGGACAGGGAGGCCTGGCCTGCTGCAGTCCATGGGGTCCCAAAGAGTTGGACATGACTGAGTGACTGAACTGAACTGAGCTCCTAAACATTTTGTAACTGTTTGGGTAATTTTCTTCTTTTCTACGAAAGGGTAAAAGTGGATAAAGATGATTGCTACAGCCTTTGTGCTAGAGTGGAGTAGGGCTGAGGTGGCAGCAGGACCCTCTGTCGCTGAGGAAAGTCATGGGTGGAGGCCAGTCTGGGTGGATTTTCCAGTTGTGTCCAATACAAGTCCTGTCAGGGTTAGATTTAGTGATTTAGGTTAAGCATAAACATTTGTTGTGGGTCGCATGGGTTTAAGCTGAATAGAGATTATGCTGTTAATGTAATGAATCCAGAGCCTCCACTGTGATTGTATAAAATTGTTGAAGAGCAGCTGTATTTGTATCTGCTTGGCCATGTCATCACCCAATAAATAGAAAAGACATAATTCTGACCCCTTTCCCAGCCTGTGAAAAGTTGGAAAAGAGTGTGGTAACAAGAATTAGTATTATTGTGGAAATTCCTTGATGATCCTGTCATAGGGCTTCATGCTTTCACAGCCAAGGGCCTGGGTTTGATCCCTGGTTGGGGAAAAAAAAATTAGTACTGTGATAAGAAGCATGTGCTCAGTCGAGTCCAACTCTTTGATACCCCATGGCCTGCAGCTCACCAGGTTCCTCTGTCCTTGGGATTTCCAGCAAAGAATACTGGAGCAGGTTGCCATTTCCTCCGCCAGGGTGTCTTCCTGGCCCAAGGAACGAACCCATGTCTCCTGCACTGGCAGACACATTCTTTACCAACTCTGCCACCTGGGAAGCCCAGGTAAGAGGCAGGAGTAAATATCTTAAGAAATGATTAATATTAGAATCAGAGTGTATGTATCATGCTGTAAATTCTACAGTAGATCATGTGACAAATAGTACTACTGGTGCAAACATTGAGGAATAATCTCTTTTGTAATGAAGTGATCATTTTAAGGTTAAGATTATGATTCAATGTTCATCTGAGCTGATTATTTCTTGTCTGTATGAATATTGTTGAAATCAGGCTGATGATGCACACATTTGAGACAATGATTTTACACAGGAATAGATATATAATACTTCTATACTGTTAGAGTTTGTTGTTATACTTGGTATTGTTAATATGAATATTGTGAGTAGTGTAAAGGAGATAAATAAGTTTATTACTTTTATTTGAGGTTGCACCAGTTTTTTAGTCCCTCAGACCAATGGAAAACTACAATCCTTTAAAAGCTTGAGAAAACCATCTTGTTAGGTATGGAACCATGAATTAGCAGTTATTGCATATTATTTCTTCAATAAGCTTTAGTCTTAAATTACTAGATTCATAATGTAGTATTTATGTTTTTTAAAAAACATTTACAGTATAAGAATGCTAAAATGATTTGGAAATTTAATGGTAGGAGTAAGAGAGGAAATGGAGAGATATGAGGGTGTTTCCTCATGTAACTGATGGCTTAATGTTATTGATATCATG